AACACGAGAGTCAACCTCTCAAACGGCTCAAGAATAGGGATAAAAACATGTGTAATTATTGGTCTATCAGTCTTCTTCAGCTTCTCGAACAAGTTGATTGGGAGATTTCTGGGTATTTCTGAAGGTAGGAGCTGCTAAATGTCGAGGTTTTCTTGGCTTCAACTGAGTCGGTTTGTATTGGTCCATCCGAGCTCGCCGACGCAATTATACCAGATTCGTCGTTCGATTTGTACCCATTCTTTTATGGGTTTGTGGCGATTGGTAGTGATTCTGTTTATCTTATTGCTGGTTTAATTTTGTGGATTCAAATAGAGAGATGCTCGGAGGATAGAAGAGAGAGTGGGTAGAAAGTGGGAATTGGTGGCGATTCCTCTGCTTCTCAGATGAAGAACAGAAGAGTGTGCGAGTCTTTTTTTTTTGGCGATTCATTTGCTTCTCGGATGAAGAACAAAAGAGAGAGTGGGTAGAAAGAGGGAATGAGTGTGAGTGAATGGTGGCGTTTATCTGTGTTGGGGTCGGTTAATAGGTCGAACCAGTTTAAGGGTTGGGTTGGAAGAATTTGATATGACAAGTTTGATGATGTGGCGAGTGACATGGCATTTCTGTTAGGCTGACAGAGCACTTCTGTTTGCCACATCAGCACTTAACTGACTCCATTAACAAAGTTGGACGGAGACTAACGGAGAGTGACCAAAGTTGAACTGTTTAACTAATCTTAGTGACCTCTGATGGAATTAAATATTTCTAGTGACCAAACATGAACGTTTTTAGTAATCTCAATGACCAACTTTGTAATTTACCCACTTTAAGATCCTCCTTAAAAAAGGGAGTTTAAGGACCTGAACTCATGCCGTGATTTTTCTCACCCCCACTGTGGGCGAAAAAGTTGAACTGCTAACAGGGAAATCTGTTAGCATATACTAACACGGTGGAGATGATAGCCACGTCGGCCCACTTATAATCCAAGGGAGGAGGGTTGAAGGCTTGTAATGGCTCATTTAAGTGAGCTGATTTTGGGCTTGGACTTGAAGCTGACCCAGCCGCAAAATTAAAGAAGATGGCGTTGGCTCCACTATAATTTGGGCGGGATTGGGAGAGGAAGGGAAAGTGGCGCTGGGTCCACCATTCTTCTCTCTCAACACCTTTTTTTCTGTTTCTTACTTGTGGTTACAATGAATATTTCTTTTGGCTATAGCGGATATTTATTGTTAAATGGTTGGATATTAGTTTGTGATATTTATCTATGTTTGTTTGTGTTGATATTTATTTGTTTTTCAATATTAGGGTTTGGGGTTAGGGTTTGGATTTTGGTTTAGGATTTAGTGTTAGGGTTTGGGTTTACAGTTTAGTCTGGATTGTATGAATATTTAATTTTGCATAAACTGATATTATATGCAATGGATATTAGTTTGTGATGTAATGAATACTGTGTTTTCCATCAAAACTAACACACTATCAAGTCCTAACACATAAGGTTTGCAACCTTAGTTAGGGCTGCCCGCCGAGGGCCCATGAAACAATAATAGTAGGAGAGTGAGGGTTTAAGGTTTACGATTAGGGTTTCAGGTATAGGGATCGAGTTTTTTGGTTTCGGGTTTAGAAGGCAATATTGTAGAAATGATTTTGAACACAATGTAGGGTGGTTGATTTTTGTCTGTGGTGATAAGATATTATTATGTGATTAGATGATATTATTTCGCGATGTGTGGATATTTTGGCCGTGTAGCACGATACTAGTCTGTGAGAGGTAGATATTAGTTAATGTTGGTGACAATATTTATTATGGTAGGAACGAATATTAGTCTGGGTGGTGCAGATATATTTTTTTATGTTGTACGGATATTGGGGCACTTTTGATAACTATTCCGATGTGATCTTTTGTTTATTTAAGCATATAGCATCACACACTTAGCCAGCCATATTACACCAATTTACGGTTTATCGATTAGGATTTAGGGTTAAGGATTTAGTGTTTAGCGATTAGGGTTTCGGGTTTAGAAGGCAATATTGTGAAAATGGTTTTGAACACAATGTAGGGTAGTCGATTTTTGTCTGTGGTGATAAAATATTATTATGTGATGGAGGATATTAGTTGGCGATGTGTTGATATTTTGGCTGTGTAACAGGATATTAGTTTGTAACCGATGGATATTAGTTAGGGTTGGTGCGGATATTTATTATGGTAGAAACGAATATTAGTCTGGGTGGTGCGGATATTTTTTATGGTAGGAATGAATATTAGTCTGGGTGATGTGGATATTTTTTTATGTAGTACGGATATTGGGACACTTTTGGTAAATATTCAGATGTGATCCTTTGTTTATTTAAGCATCTAGCATCACACACTTAGCCAACCATATTACACCAATTACGGTTTAGCGGTTAGAATTTAGGTTTAAGGATTTAGTATTTAGTGTTTAGCGATTAGGGTTTAGAGTTTATGTGTAGTTGGTATTAGTCTGCGAAGGTCATATATTAATCTCTGTGTGGTGGGTATTAGTATGTGATGGGCAGATATTAATATGCGTGTGGTGGGTATTAGTTTGCTATGGTCAGATAATAGTCTGGGTAGTTTGGATATTTGTTCTGTGTGGATGTTTATCTACTGATTTGTATATGATTACATCAATTTAGGGTTTAGTGTTAGGGTTTAGAATTAGGGTTTGGAGTTTATGATTTAGGATTTGACTTTGGGGTTGAGGTTTAGAGTTAAGGGTTCAAGGTTCAAGCTTTGTGTTTAGTGTCTATGATTAGGGTTTCTAGTATAGGGTTTGAGTTTTGGTTTCGGGTTTAGAAGACAATATTGTGGAAATGATTTTGAACACAATGTAGGGTGATCAATTTTAGTGTGTGGTGATAAGATATTATTATGTGATTAGAGGATATTAGTTCATGATGTGTTGATATTTTTGCTGTGTAGCCGGATATCAGTCTAAGTCATCCAGATATTAATCTGTGTGTGGTGGGTATTAGTCTGTATGGTGAAGATATTAATTACGGACTGACTCGATATCGGTATTAGGCGGTGGGATATTAGTCTGGGTGTTCTGGATATTGTTTATAGTGAACGGATATTATTCTGGGTGGTTTGCATTTGTTTTTTTGTGGATGTTTATCTATGTTTGTTTGTGTTGATATTTAGTTTAAGCAAATTCATAATAAAACAAAGTCGTTTTTCGATAAATTGCGATACAACTAGTATTTATTGTCATTCCAACTTGGCAATCCCATAATCTAAAATCTAAAAAAGTATAACTACATAAAAAACGGAAAAGGAATAGTTCAAATGTTGTCTTGCTTGTGCAAATTCTCGATTATCTTCTTTCTCATGTCCCTCCGAGCCCTTCCCCCCCCCCCCCCCCCCCCCCCCACGTTTCGATCATGCCACGACGAGGTTGGGATGATCCTTCTCTTACGGTCTCTTCGTTGTTGTTTTTGTTCTTGCCATTGTCCAATATCCCTGCAGCATATATAAATATCCACGTATAAATCAACTCATATCCTAACCACACAGAACTAATATAAGGTACTATAATCCATACAATAAAGAGCAAACAAATATCCAAACATGGAGTACAAATATCCAGACATGATGTTTTCAATATCTGGACATCACAGAACTAACATTATAGAAGTAATATCCAGATACAACGAACAAATATCCAGACATAGTATAACAGATATCTTAACTGCACAGAACTAATATAAGTGAACTAGCATTCATATAAGGCAGAGAAATATCAAGACGAAGTAAATAAATATCCATACATCACATAACTAATATCTGAACCCAACCACACAACTATCCAGACAATTGAAAACTGATATCCTGGCTGAACAGAACTAATATCGGAACGCACATAAAACATATCCACAAAATCCAAAAAACAATGAAACCCAGATCCAGTCAAATCCACAAAATCCACAAACCTCAGAAACTCAAACCCATATCCAATCAAATCCACAAACCCAGAAAACATATCCACAAGCATGCTAATTGTTATCCACTATGAAAGGAACTAATGTTTTGGATCTACAATTCGAATCCCAGATCTCAACCACACAACTATCCAGACAATTGAAAACTGATATCCTGCCCGAACATAACTAATATCGAAACGCACACAAAACATATCCACAAAACCCAGAAAACAAAGAAACCCAGATCTAGTCAAATCCACAAACCTAGCAACCCAAACCCAGATCCAATCAAATCCACAAACCCAGAAAACATATCAACAAAATAAAAATAAAAAAGCAACCCAGATCTAGTCAAATCTAAGTTACCAGAAAACAAATCCATCAAACTCATCCAGGAAAAAACGTAGGAAAAGGAAAACCCAGATCTAGTCGAAGCTATGAAACCCTAACTCCAATCTACTCAAACGAACATGAGTATCCATGACCAAAAGGAAAAAAAACTCGAATACCTCAGTCAACGAAGTTGTTCTTTCGTCAACGACCGCCGTCAACCAACCCCTTCGTTGCCGCTGCTTCGTCGCCGCCGCCGAGTTCGCTATAAGGCGCCGCCGTCGAGATCACCGCCAGCAAGTTCGCCGCACCGCGCGGCCGATTCTTCTGCGTTTGGGAGAGGAGGAAAGGGAAAAGGAGAGGAAAGGGAGAGAGAAAGGGAGAGAGAGAGGGGGGGGGGGAATAATTTGGCAGCGAACTGAAAAAGGGTAGGGTTTAGAGTAATTTATTCTGGGTTTTTGAATTTGTGAGCCCGGCGGGCCCCGCAAGCCGTCGTGGCTTGGGCCAGCCGATGGAATCGGCTCTCCTCCCTCATATTCAGGCGCGTTTTCTCCTCCACCGATGGATGACGGCTTGGCGACGTGGAGGCCCATCCAACCATGTCAGTATTTCCTAACAAAAGCCCTTGTTAGGAGGATAACTAGATTCTTAAAATTGTAACCGTGTGGAAAGCCCAAAGAATCCGGTTGGACCAACGAAGAAAAGAAAAGCAAAGAAACGAGAGTCGCCGAGGCCGGCGACAGCTTCCAATGGAGTTCCGGCCTCGTAATTACATCGCCGAAGAAGAAACCCACTCGCTCACTCGCTCAGCCGCCGATCATCACCCTCTCTCAGCTGTACCTCCATCATCGTCTGCGCCCCCGCCTCCGGAGAATAAGCTTTCCCACAGTGAGGATGCCAATTTCTTCGATCCTCTACGAGGAGAACGGAGGGGCGGGGAGTCCATCTCAATCGACGAGGCCCCCGACAGGGAGAATGCTTCTATCTCAGGGCGCTCTGCGGTTCCCTATCCCCAAGCTCCGTCCAAGGAATGGAACTCTTTCAAGAGGCTTTTAATGCAGAAGTTCCCCGTCTCCAAAATAATCGCAGTTTCCTCGGTAATATATTACTGATAGAATCATATTTTTCCGGAACTGTGTATTTTAAGCAGGAATTGTTTCGGCTTCTGGTGCAGGTGTCTGATGTGATCGTTAAGGGTGGCAAGGGTGAGTTTTCTTTACTGTTGCTTAGTATAAAATTGCAGTTAACCACAATTTTGCCTCTACATTGTTAGATTAGGGAATCAATCATTCGTTGCATATATTTTCCATTATCCAAGCACTTGTGAAGCTGGTATATAGCAAGCGCGTCGTGAATATTATTGTAATCTATGTGTACTGGGACTTGTAGTTTATCTTTTTATAAGTGGCATTGCTCAATTTTCTCCTTCCTATTTGCTTTGTACGATCTCACTTGTTGTTTCATTTCTATCTGCACCTAAATCAAGTAAGGTCTCCTCTAAGTCTAGTTCTGCGGTGTGTGAATGTGCAGCCTTTGAGAAGCCTGATAGAACCATGCTTGTCGATGAATTGGATGATGTTGAAAATGAGGTTGTGAAGATTACCCAACAAGAGTATGTCTCCCGGTTATATGATCTCAAAGATGAAATCAACCGCGCTTGGAACAGTGATGATCGTGTAACTGCTTTGAAGTTATCTATCAAGGTAACTTCCACTCGTTTCCTTCTAAATTGATAATTTGCTTAAGGTTTCATGTTATCCATGCTTCATGGTCACCCAGGGTACGTGAGTTAAACTGCCTTAGATAATGTCCAAATGCACAAAGATCCATTTTTTGGCCGGTGCGCCATTCTAGCATAAATTTTTTGCTGGGCGTATAAGAGGGTAAAAGGCTTAACTATCCCTTTCCCAACAACTCGAGTTATTGGGGCCAAGTGGTTAGTTCGCTAACAATTACCGCAACTATAAATCCGATTCTTCAGATTTTCTAATAATCACTTAGTATTTGCAAAAATGGGTTGTGTGCTGATCACATGTATTTAATGTAAACAATTTCCATGTGTGCAGGTTGCTAAGCTTCTGGTGGATACATCAGTCCTGCAGTTTTATCCTACATTATTTGTTCTTGCCACAGATGTGATGGACATGCTTGGGGAACTGGTCTGGAAGCGCATTAGGCAGAAAGCTGAATATGCCGAAAATGGGACAATGCTCGATATTTTACCAGGTCTATATCTTTCTACTTTGCTGTAATAAAATTCTCCTTCTAGATTTGTAGGCTTGATGCAAAACAGTACAAGCTCTTCCTATGTAAACGTATTCTACTTCTGCAGAATATGGGTACATAGTTGAGTTCGATGCATGTGAAACTGGTGTGTGAAAGTTGTGCATGGAGTGTGTTGACAGCATTTCATTTGAATCAGTGGACCCAAAAACTGACTATTTGCTATCAATCCATCACTTGATTTATATACAATCTCAGCTCTTCCGTCTTCAGAATTCCAACAGTAAATGCAGATAATCAAAAGCTTATCTTCATTGTTGATGCTGTGCAGTTTTTATGGTTTATTGTTTGCAAATGAAAAAGAGAACAAAGTGGAATATTCCCTAAACATGGATTATACGTTAGGACTAAGGCAACAAAGTGGGTCAACATTCAGTTTTTGATATCTCTACTATTGTGGAGTGTAAAATTGTTACATTCACACCTTTGCTGGATTTTCTTGGCAGAGAATTTTAAAGCAAATGATGTTTGCTTTGATGCTAAAGAAACATGCAATAACTGGTTCTGCAAAGTTGGTGCTGTTCGTGAACTTCTTCCACGCATGTGAGGTCCTCATCCCATGTATGCTTGATATTATCTGATTGCTCTCTGGCTCCAAGATGACTTGTTGGTTTGATTGGCTATAAGGACCGAGATAGTTGAGCTGATGTAGTTTAGATACAACAATGGAGTTGTCTATACTAGATTGGTAGGGGTTGTCTGCATAATTATTGTTCGGTAGAGCCTTAATGAAGTGGCTTTTCTCCTATAGTGCTTTCCCTTCTTTACATTTTTAGAAAATATCTTATATTTCATTTATAGAGCCTCACCAAACGGATTTCCTGTCCCTTCAATTTAAGTTTTAGTTTCTAAATTTCTGGAAAGACCAAACAAACTGAAACAGGCTTCCCTCATCAAGCCTCCACCATTCCCACCTAAAACAACTTGAACATGAAACGTCTTGTGGGACATTTGGGTGATCAAGCTATTTGGTCAGTCTCTGAGGATATCCCACTGCATACAAATGTTGTACGATGAGTTTATTTGATAATTTGTAATGTGGTTGATGTTTGTATCCCTTTGCTTGTTCATGCATTCTTGTGACCTTTCCTCGATTCCCCTTTACCTGTTTCTCGGACTCTCAAGTAAAAGTTATTTCTGCTCTTAATGGATATAAATCAGATACTTGGAGCTGGCTATTTTACCCTGTTGGCGTTTTCTGCTTGACCGGCCAGAAGATAATCTCCAGCGACTTGTTATGATGATAAGGGGGTTAGCTGATCCATTAGCATCTGCTTATTGTCGTTTGTATATGGTCCACTGTGCACAGAAGTTGCATACATCTGATAAAGGTACATGTTGCTATCTATCTGAAATGGCTGAGCATTTTAATACCACCAAGAAATAAGAGGGGGACAAAAATTACTTTTTTAAGTCTTATGTAGTTGAATGGAGCATGCATAAAACTGTTTCAGTTTATTTTGTCCATCATCACGTCGACAAGTGTAGTTAAGGGAAGCATCTATATGGCTCCTGCAATGGAGCTACCTCTTATATTTATCTGATTGTTATCAGTTGGTGTTAATGTTTGATATATTTGTTTATTCTCCTTTCCTTCGAAGCATAAAACGGAACTGAACGTTGGTTTTCATGGTGGTAGAGGAGGTAGCTCTCAACATGTCTTTCAATCTGCCTATTATCTTTGAGGCCGTTTACTTTTCTTCTGTAATTAATTGGGAGTTTACTGGTATAAGAACTCGCTCCTGTCTTGTCATTTCCAGTCTATCTGGTAATTATGGATCTGTCTTGTGTCTAATGACTTGTCAAGGCTTTTACCCAAGTTCTTATTTTGTGTTAACTTTTGTCCATTCAGCAAACTCATGTCTATGAGTGTTAACAACAGGCAAGTTGAGAATCTGTTAATGAATTGGCTTCAGTGTAACTTACAGTACTGTGTTCATGATGACACAACAGGACATCTGATTGCCTGTATTAATGACTTGAACATTCTGTTCATGCGACCTGCATCAGCAAAGGAAACACGACATGGATATTTGACTGACAAGAAAAAATTGCTTGTTACTCTAATTGACCCAGCTATCGAGTATATCATGAAATGCATATTTGACAATGCATCTAAGGTCAGTTGAATTTCTATGGAAGCATCTCTACCTTGTAATTTAGAATTGAACTTGTTCTTCTCTGTAAATTGCTGCTGCAAGTCTTGTGCTTGTCGCTTCCTTATAAAGTATTTCAGAACTTGTTTTTAATTTTCATTACTGTAACAAGGTGCCTGATCTGAACCTCAAGATGTTGGCCTAGTGTTAATGGGGATGAAAAACATGAAATCCACTATGTATCAAACCTTGAGGCCATCGCCTTAAAAAATCAACAAAAACCAAAAAACGTACTTTAATTTATTTATCAATCCTTTAAAATATTCTGAGGTAATCTTCTGATATATTTTCTGGTGCTTAATATCGTTGATTTTGTTGGAAGGTCCATATAGATGATGCGCTTGTTGGCCTTCGGCTGGCCAGAAATCAAGTTGATATAGTTGAGCGTCCGGCATTTGTCTCAATTGTTCTGCACCATCTACTAAAAGAACTCCCAGCTGAGATATTGAACTCGCATGCCCAGGATTTCCTCCATCTGATTCAGTTCAGCAAAGATTATACTTTTGATCAGGTAAATTTTGTTGTGCTGGTAGTTGAAGTATAGTTCTTAGATCTGCAATATACAGTTTAGCTTTATTGCTTTCCTTATTGTTGCTTCTCCTATTTTGAACATGATATGATTATTACTTGATTGTGGGCATCTTTAAAAATTCATTTATTCTTTTGGACCAGTGTTTGAACTACAGGTTACTAGGATTCAGACTTGGTGAACATAGGTCTCAGATAGAAGTCTTGAACTTAGTTCTCGAGGAAGTGATGCAGGTACTTACAAGCACCCTTCTGGTTTTGTATGGATGTTAAACTTCTCCTCTTTACTCCTGTCTTCTCAGATTACATATGGAATTATTTAGACTAGTTGTTCAGAATTCATATTTTCATGGTGAAATTGCTTCGTGGTTCTCGAATCTAGGATTTATTGAAAAATAAGAAAATTTCAGTTGTTTAAGGACTTGCTATTGAGCAGTAACCAGTTGATACAAGAAGGTGATTCTTCTGAAACTTATAAGCAACCATGAAGAGTGATTGTTCAAAATTCCATGGATGTTACGTGTTTCAGTGTCACAATTTATTACAATGCTCAAGAGTAGAAAGAATAAAGTGAAAAGTTATGACAAGAAGATAAAAGCTCCTTCTGATGAGAAAAGGGAAATTACGTTGTATTTTGCCATTCTGACTTGTCTTGGTGTTAGTCATAGATATAATTATCCATTTAGATCTTTATCGATTTGTTACTAAAAATCTTTGATTGTTTGTGTTTGAGTTTCACCATACATGCTGCGGCAGTTCAAAACTGCTGGTGGTTTGCTTTGGTTGCATATGGTTTCTTACAAACTTGTTTCTTTTACACATTGTGCTGGTCTATTTATATTTTCCTTGAACAAGCCTTGTTAATTAGGTAGAATTGCTAATTTCTCATTTAGGACGGAGCCTGAAGTCTGTTATGGTTGTATGGTTGGGTGTCCTTTACCTTGTTAGTTTTTAAAATGTTAATGTTGCTAAAGAATCCATCGATAGTATTTTAGTTATATTTTACAAATTTATTGGGTATTATTAGCAAACTACAACCTTTTTCAGGCAATGCGTACAATTTAAGGTTCAACTTTTTGTTTTCCATTTTTTGACACAGGTGTTTGTGTCGGGCATAGAATTTCCAGTTTGGCTACCTTGATAGAACCTTACATATACTGCTCGTACAAAGCCTAATCTGAAACACTTGTGGAATTCTCTGCATACTTGCATTTATTCTATTTTAAGTAATGGTTTGTTATCCAGGTTAACCTTTAAGTTCTCCACCAGTTGGCATGATGCTCGGTGTAAGAGATTGATCTGTTTTCCATTTTTTGACACAGGTGTTTGTGTCTGGCATAGAATTTCCAGTTTGGCTACCTTGATAGAACCTTACATATACTAATCTGAACACTTGTGGAATTCTCTGCATACTTGCATTTATTCTATTTTAAGTAATGGTTTGTTATCCAGGTTAACCTTTAAGTTCTCCACCAGTTGGCATGATGCTCGGTGTAAGAGATTGATCTGTTTCCTATCTTTTGTTTATATTCCTCTATAGATTCAGCTGTTTATTTTTAAGAGTAGATCCAATTGTTTGTGCAACTGATGCTACTATCTATTTTGCATCTTTTTTGTTGGAATTTCCACACTAGTCATTGATCTGTTAACCTGATGGACTGCTATCCTGTTTCTGCAATCAGGCTATCAGTCAATATGAGAGACTTGATGAGTTCTTAAATGTTGTGGATTCTTATATAGACATCGTTCTTCAAAATCAAATGGTAAGTTGAATTATTAGTACATTGATTATATTTGCTTCTTTTCTTAAGTGTGCCATTTGTACAAGGATGGTGGGAAATTCAGATAGCTTATTGAGCTGAGTTTAATTTTCCTTTCCTTAATATCTTGGATATTCTGTGTTGAGATCTGTGCTTCCTTATTGTTAACCTTGCCATCGTTGCTACTTATACATTAAATTAGAATCTTTCACTTACTGAAACTATTGCATTTAGTTGGCGAACTGAGTTAAAAAGAACCGGAAAAAAAACTTGCATGAGGTCTAATCTTCGAGTGGCTCAAAGATTTTTGCAATAGGCATTTTTTGATAGGCTCTTAGGATTGGGTTTCGGTTTGGTAGCAACATCTATAATGCTCAAAGATGTGGCTGATGGAATTCTTGCGTTTGTCACTGGGGGGATTCCCCTCTATTCTTCGGGTAAAACAGTTGTCATATCCAATTGCTAAGCTTATGTACCCTCGAAAATGTGTGAACCATACATATGCTTTGTTGCACAGCATTAGGTCTGGGTACTGACAGGCACTTTGTATATGATTTTGTTTCGCCAACACCAAAACCGTACTTGTGTTGAGTGTTTTGGCCTTTTGGGTGTGTTCTTACTTGTGGGGCTGATCAACTCTTCTAATCAATATGATACAATTTCACATGTATGATGACGAAGTCCTTGGGAATTTGCAGCCTGCATACTTATCAGTATATTGAGGGTTCTCCTCTTAGGTTTTGATTAGCCTTCTGCCCATGTCTTTTATATTGTAACCATAATCAGGTTTCAGTTATTGCCTTGCTGGAATCGAGCCATATGATTTATTTGTCTTCAAATATGATTCTTTTTCTATGTCAAGCACTGACCCTTATGAATTTTCCAGGATGGTTACTTGAGCAGTATTTTAAAGGCCCTCGCAATGCGCATTTCCAGTAAAGAGGTTACAGAAGACGACTCGAGAATCTTGCAGTCCATTATGATAAAACTTCTTTCTCGTTTGAAGGACTTGGATGAGATTTTTGCTTTGGTATGATATGCACTCTGTTTCCCCACTCATTTGTACTATTCTATTATCTATGGTACCAATTGCTAAATGACAATCTTATGTCTGGTTTTGTAGTGTTGCTAGTTCAGGGCACAGAAAAAAGTATTATGGTGGAATTCCTGACATTTATTATTTGTAAATTTGTTGATGCAGAGCCATTTCCTTGACATCTTAGATGTGATGTATGGACGCTCCAGGAATGCAGTGAATCTGCATATTCTTGACATGGCTACAAGGTGATTTCCGTTTCCTGACCTTGTAGGTCCAGCTAATGATCTTAATATGGTTCCTAATTTAAGTAATGTCCTGAGCAGGAAGGGTCGTTTGCGTGATCCGGCAGCCATACAACTTCTTTTTGAAATTTCTCAATCTCTTCATGATGGAATAGATCTATCTTACGAGAAAGATGATTATGCTCGACAGCTGGCACGTCTCATTTCTCGTTTTGTGCAAATGGTAATAAATATCAACAAAATATAGTCATCCTTCTGTGGTGACCTGTTTGCTTAGGAAACACGACATAATGAGAATCAGTAACAGATTGTTTGTTCACGACATTTACTGCAGGTTGACTATGGTACTGAGTTGGAACAGCATTTAATGTTCTTAGTCGAATGTCGTGGGGCTTTTGGCAGCATAAATGAATTAAAGGTTACACATTTCTCTCCAATGAATAGTGGATGTTGAGCCATTGTGTTTCTTTCATTTTATCTTTAATTCGGTACATCAAATAGGAGTTAATCTCACTTTTTTTGTCAACGAATAAGATCTTATTAACATCAACGCCATATTTAGTTCACCTTGGACTTTTACATGAATGATACCCATGACATTATATTCAGCGCATATTAAGTCCTGACGTCCAAAGGTATAAACTATGAAAGTTCATTAGGGTGCTCAAGAGTTTGGTGGCAGCTAAAGATCAACTTCATTAGACTTCCCAGTGCCACTACCACCGTAAGCAATGCTAGAATGACATAAGCTTACCATGTCATGCTATTTTTGCTCAGCTCTTCGCCAATTGTTTTACCATGCCATGTTTTTGGTCGGCTATTGCTCCTTATCTCATTACACCTATTTTGGTGGGACAGCCTGTTTATTTTGATCCAGAACCCTCTAGCTGGGCTCTGACATTGCTACTCGCAAAAATGTCATGGGACCTTGACATGAGATGTCATATGAATTATCATATGGCCATCATTTCATAACTGTCAAAATGGATCTGGATTTGGTCTTCAATTTTATTGCAGGAAACTCTTGTTCACTCAAGTAATAGTTTGGCGACTGAGGCTTTGAAAGATGACAAAAAGCAAAGCACTTTGGTTAAATCTTGCATTGCATTTAGTGAGGTTACGATACCCAGTATTCCAACTCAAGTTAGGCAGCTGAATCTCTATCTGGAAACAGCTGAGGTAGTCTTTTCATCTTCTAATTGGTAATTCTTTTGTCTAGTAAATCACACATCTCTTATCAGGTTGTACATGTGCGCACGACATAATACATATATAAAATGCTAATTGATTGACAATACTCCCAGGTTGCCTTATTAGCCGGTTTAGTTTCCCATTCAGATGGACTGGTAGCTTCTGCTGTCAGCTGTTTAGAATCTATGGGGTCCTTAGATGGTCAGTATTTGCTGATTCTTTTTTTCAACAACCTGTTCGTTATACAATTATACAATTCTTGGGTTCAGCTTCTGCCTTAACAGTATAGTAAAGCTTCAGCTGGCATCTGTTTGGCTTTTTCTCTGTATGGCAGGCTACCGAACACCATCTGATGTTGATGGAATACTCTCCTCGGTTCAAAAACTGTGCAGCCTCTTGGTTATGGTTCCAGGTTTGTAAGTCTGATTTGTTTAATGCCGCATAGTTTATAAGATCTGATAACTCATTGCGCTTGGGATTTCCATACTTTATTTTGGGATCTTCTACTTTTCTTTTGGGATGCCTTCCAAACAATGTTCTTCAACCTATTACCACAACTGCTCGAACCGCGAAATTTTGATATGCTGTTTGGAAATAATTGGAATAGTGACCTCTCAAACAATGTTCTTCAACCTAGCACCAAGTATGGTTCATTGGCTTATAGACTATAGAGGTCTTGAAAGACCCCTTTATTCTAAGCTGTGATTAGGACCAGGGTATCTGGCTAAATTTGTTTGCCCTTAAAGCATTGAAGGCTATGCCAAAAAAGACCTAGGAGTCCAAGTGTACTACAGTTTGTCCTTCCAGTGATCTGGAATTACCCTTTGATTAGACATCTACTGTTATCCATTATTTCCATGTACTCAGAAACTCTTCTCACAGTCGCTTTTTCTTTTGCCTTATCTGAAGGTGGATCTAGCCATTGTATCACAGAAGTTCCAGACAACATCCTCTCTCTTGTTTGTTCTGAATCATCATGGTAAGACTTCTGTGTTAGTTAAGTCGTATCAACTACACGAAGTTGATTTATGGATTTCATTCGATTCTCTGCATTCCCTTTCAGGTTGACTGGAAGGATTAGGACAAGGATGCTTTGTGCAACAGTACTCTTGGTGGCGACACTTTCACAATGCAAGCTCCCATACCAGGCATACCATCTGGAGGTACTATCTTCTTCAAGCTCAACACTTAGGGGTTTAGGATGTGTCTGCTGTGGCTAAAGAATAAGTTGCTTAAAAAAGAAATGGCTTTAAAAGCTCAAACATGCATTTCCAGTGTAACCTTTTTTAGCTGAAAAATAGTGCAACTTCTAGAACCCAACAAGGAAACAATATGTTTTATTCTTCTTCTAAAACATGGGGAAAAAAAAAGCAAAAGCTGAATCAACACCCCTAATCTTTTCTTGTCAATCCTTATGTAAGATGCTGAATGCCCCCATTCATATAGCTCCTAAGATCAGTTGTTCTGGTATGGCCAGGTTCCTAGCAATGACTTGTTATTCTTTGGGGATTCTTCCTATCTACAAGACCTTGTATCATTCTCCGAACGTGTCCTTCAGAGCCTTGTAGGTTCGATAGAGCAAGAGCAATCGAAGGTAGCCTCACCGGTAGATTCTTGTCATTAGTACATTACATACATGAAGCACATACCGCGCTTATCTGATGTGTGAATTATGTCATGTACTTCTAATAGGCTGGCCGCGGAAGCATGGCTCTCGAAGCTTGCAACTGCATAGCATCCACCTTCAAAGTAAACAGTCCATCTCACCTCTCTTCTTCCCTTGGCCAGTTCACAGAATTTTTGCATCGCGAAATGAGTTAATCCAAGTTTCCATTAATGATAGATATTTCTTCCCCATTGGTGTGGCAGGCAAGTGGTTACGTATCGGAACTGTGCTGGAATCTGATTGAGACTGCTACATCGTGTTTGAGTGCCAACGACAAGTACCTGCAGTCCACCATTCGATATCTGAACCAGCAGCAGCTTCTTCCAGCTTCTAAACCGTCGGCTCCTATTGTTCCATGATGTATGTATGAACAGTACTGTTTTGTAGTTTGTAGAACGATTCTATTCGTTTCTTGTCTTGTCCCTATTGATGAATGTGGTTGTCAGGAAAGTCTATTTGCTTCGGTGTTAAGGGATTACGTTAGAAACAAATCAACAATTGATGTTAACGTTATTTGGTCCCACGGGACATGCAAATTGCTACGTACACTAAATATGACGAATGGGATGGTGTACAAGTGTAGGAAACAAAATGCGACGTTTGCTTTCCGCGTTAGGTGCGAATTTGATGAGCGGTGCGCAGTAATGATGAGACAATTCATACCTACATAAGTCGACGACAATACTTGAATTGCATTTTGAACGATTGATTACAAAGAGGAACCAAGCGAAGAATATGAGAGTCATCTCATAGCATTCGGTTGAAACACTTTGTATTTGAGAGATACAGTGAAGGAGAGCAAAACATGGATTGGAACGAAACAACCCACCAGTAGATCTGAACACTGGATTCAAAATCGGTAAACATACCAAAGCCCTCTCGCAACCAAACCAAATATAATAGCACCAAAAACAAACTCAGCTCGTTCGATATGGCCAAGAGCCCAAGACCATGGCTATTGGACATAGCAACGCCATACGCCGCTTCCTAAGAGTGACTCGTAAACGGCCCAACATAGTGAATCTTGAAGCTGGGATGTAGCAACGGTCAAATGGATTGTTCAAAGCTGAAAATAAGGGGGGACCAAGACATCACGACTCGGTCCAAACATAGAAGGAGTCTGGTGACTAAGGGGGTGATTAGTCACTACTCACTTGACTGGGGGGGGGGGGGGGGGGGGGGCTTAGTCAAGTAGGGGGGGGGGGGGGCTTAGTCACTTGACTAAGCCCCTCCTAGCCCTTGGATATAGATGGACTGATCTAATGGTGAAATTTAGGGAAGGGATAATTAAATAGGGGCAGGGGCAATATTGGAATTATAAAAACTTGCATTTAATTTTATTTATTTTTTCCTCCAATCTTCCTTTTCTGCGTTGCTATTCTCAGCCATGGAAGAGAGAGAAACGCAGCAGTGGCCAGTGGGAGAGAAGAACGGCGATGGTGAAAGAGAGGGGAGCGACGACGGCGATGGAGAGAGAGAATGGAGATCTCGATGGCGCCGACGACGGTGGAGAGAGGGAAAGGAGATCGCGACAGAGGCGGCAGCCTTGGAGAGAGAGAGAGAGCAGATCTAGCCGTCGTCGTCGGAAAACAGAGGAGAGAGAGAGACGATGGTGGAGGAGAGAGAGGCGGCGGAGAGAGCGCGTCGGCACGGTGGAGGAGAGAAATGCGGTGCGGCGATGGAGAGAGAGAGAGAGAGAGATGGAAACGGTAGTAGAGAGAGTCAGCGGCAGCGGCGGTGGAAAGAGAGTCGACGGCGACGACAACAGTGGAGAGAGAGGGAAGAACAATTATTTGTAATGCAAGTGTTGTCGGTTTGTATTGTTGGTATTTTTGTACATAATGTCAGTGTGATTTGTATGGTTTGTATGTTTTGTAAAAAAGACAAATATGTTGGACAAAAATAACAAAGCTTACAAACATTACAAAAGAACTCGACAAACATTACAAAATAACAAAGCTTACAAATATTACAAAACAACTCGACAAACATTACAAAACATACTAACAGTACAAAATAACACTACTTACAAATACAAATCAGTAAACTTGTATCACAAATCAATGAATAGAAAGTGTACAAATCATAACATAAAGTATACAAACTAGACAAACAAACATTACAAATTACAATATATACAAAATAGTCATATAAACATTACAAACACAACAGACTAAAATAACAAAGTAGAATGATATACGATACAAACTGAATTGGTATAAACAATACAAACTGAACTTATAAACATTACAATATAGGTTGACAATCATCACGAATTCAAACATTGTTGCCGGAAAATCATCCACCACCGTCTCTGGTCGCCGGAAAACTGCTCCACCGTCGTCAGAAAAGTTGACAAGAAAACTCTCTCTCTCTCTCTCTCTCTCTCTCTATATATATATATATATATATATATATACTTTTGCCTTTTGGGAATTGGGACATAAAATCCCACCTGGGACACAAAAACCCCACGGCGGGAGAAATTCCCAAGAACATCGGCTGCAGGCGGGGAGGGCGGAGGCCACACCTTTTTTTGTTTTTAATTTAGTTGTTAAATAAATAAATTAAGTAATTACCACCTTACCCTTCATTAAACTAGATAAATCTGAACCATTGGATTCTAATGAGCTTTAATGGCTTAGATTGACTTAGTCATGTGACTAAGGGACCCCCGTCACCTGATCTTAGCCCGCATAGAAGAAAGAAACCAACCCCTTTCAAGAACCAGTTGATCCCAATAACTCGACTAATTGGAGTTATTGGGATCAACTGGTTCTTGACATGGTATCAAAGCTGGTTTGGCCAAGTGGTCGTGTATTCGAATCTCCATGACCCCCAATATTAACAGTTGATTAAAACACAAGGTGTGGTGGGCCTGTGCAAATTTCAAGCCCATAGGTTGGTTTTCGTTTGAGGGGTCGTGTTAGAGAGTGGTATAAAATCCAGTATAACCTTTTTTCAACAACTCGAGTTATTGAAACTAACTGGTTTACGACATCCCTCAGCTAGATTACCATGCCCAATAGAGGTAGCCGGTAGGCACCATGACCACTTTCCCATCTACCATCTGTTAAAAAGCCAATAAACTCCCCCAAATAGTACGGTCCAAATGTTCTAAAATGAGATATTTATATTAAATTGAAGTATTTTCCAAATATCAGTGCTTTATTTTCTTTTGTTCTCCAAATGACAAGAAAGCAACATTTCCAGATTGTTCGATGTGATTGCTCCATCTACATCTACACAATAAACAAAAGCTAAATGAGAAAATTTGAAGTCTCATTTCAAATTTGCTGTATCTAGAGTGAAAGTAGGAAGGACATTTTGGTCTTCACAATTACTTTTTTTATTCATAAAAAAGACAGTTACTAGGATTCGAACTATGACGACTTTAAAAAAAAGCAAAGATCCTAACCAATCACACTAAATACATTTGTTGTATCTTTTTAAATTAAAAACGTATGATCGCAGAGAGGAAAAAACCCTTCCCCCATTTCAAATTCCCTGCTCCATGAGCGTTTGTAGGAAGGATAGAATATGGAGTGTCAAAGTTTTTCTTTTTCCTCTGTGGAACGGGCCAACTTACCGTACACATGCAGATTTAAACGGGTCCAGGAGTGTCCATTTTTTTCTTTAAGTCTTTTTATTTCTCCGTGGTGGTAAAATATATATGAAAAGGAAAAAATAATACTCCTTTTTATTGCTAAAAAAAAATTAACAATAAACTAATGCATGGATTCTAATGGGCTAACCGCTAATCATAAAATAAAAGAGTTGAATGGGCCTTACCTACACAGGATTTGCACATCAAGTAAAACAAATGAACATCATGGGTTTGTCATTCTAAAACAAGCTATTTTCTCTAGCATAATATATATAATGCTAATAATTTATATCTTAGTGGCTAAAATATAATGTATCTTAAAGTTATTCAATGGTTCAATCTCGACCAACCCAATTAGTCCAATTTTTATCATTTCAAATATATATTATGTAATTATTTGATATCATAATGATTAAATTATAGTGTATATTATAGGGAATCGTTTGGCATTTGTTAGTAAAAAACTAAACAGAAAGATCTATTTGGTTATTTTTAACATTAAAACGATCCTATACATTTTCAGTTTTCTTTCGAAATTCTATGGTTTTATTCCCGAATCAGTGATGTGCAAATGGCGAATTGCAGTCATCTCTTTTCTTTCATTATTTTTTATTTCAAATAGAAAGTTTAAAAGTAAAGAATAATTAGAGTTTGGCATGGGTCGGTCAAACAGGCTGAATTTCAAGTTTTGGCCCATTTTGATCAAATCTAATTTATAATCACATGGTTCCCTGATACCCGATAAAAATCTCAATCCACCAGTTTGGCAGGTGAGTCTGTGTTTACCACCATTCTAGGGATACAGGAATGGTGGTTCCTATCCCAAATCGTGTTGTTCATTCTTGATTTCTTTAGATTTTATCATGGCTTGGCAAAAAACCAGAAAGCACAATGATGACAAGATGAAATTTTTATAAAGCAAATTAATCGGCCAACGGGCCGAGTAAAAGCTAGCAACGTGTTTCCCAAAAACCGGCGGGATAGACGATTTTTTATTCGATTTTCTGGAATTCAGTTTCTATAAAACTTACTCCACCTCATCATATTAATAGAAACAATATTGTTTCACAAGGTAACAGCTACTTGATTTTGGTTCATAAGGCTGATTTTGGATTCGTTGTATCATTCATGTCTCTTTCCTACTAAAATTCACTATTTTTTCACGTGTTTTCAAAAAAAAAAAAACTATACAACAATAAGCTATACACCCCATTAGATTATCAAATTTCATACCTCACCTTCCTCCAGCCAAATGGTCGGGACCTACGCTAGTTTTCTTATAAAGCCTAATGATACTTTTTGCCAGAAATGATTCATTATGTGACAATTAGGGGTCGTTTGCTTGTTGGATTTGGGTCATGGATTTGGTACCCAAATCCCAAGCTTGATGGATTTAACATAAGTCCATTGTTTGTTGAAGGGTGCTAAATCCGTGGGGTCCACGGATTTGGTCTTTATTTTGGAACCAAATTCGTGGACCCCACGAACTTGTAAATCCCACATAATGATTTGGGATTTGCAAATCCTTGATGGTTAGTTATTTATTTAACAAATCAATCATCAAATCTATCATGCAAACATTAGACTCTTCAAATCCATAATCCAATAAATCCAACATAAATCCCAAGATTTTTATTGGCCAAAACTAGGGGTGTCAATCGGTCGGTTTCGATTTAACCGAAAACCAAATTATCGGCTATCGGTTAAACCGAGCCACCCTCAAGGGCTTCCGGCAACCGACCGTGAGAGGGCTGTGGTTAGCCGGCCAACCGACCGCCCGGTTTCGGTTTTAGGCTCGGTTAGCCCCGTACCAAAAACCTTAGCAAAAACGTTGGCGTTTAGTTCAACAAAAAAAAAAAAAAACAAAAGTCAGTGGCGTCTTTCTCAGAGGCCACACCAACTCCTATTTCTCTCTCCTTCCTCCATTTTAGATCTATTCCTTCTCTCCTTCCTTCTCTCCATTTTAAACATGCAGACATGGAGAAGCAACAATCGCAAGGAACGGACAGAGCAGGGGCGGCGCTGAGGAGGGGCTTATGGTCCATGGGCGAGGAATTCGACAGCGACGATAGAGCAGCAAGGGTGGGGCCAGCGGCGGAGCGAACGAAGACGAAGACGGTGGAGAAGCTCGCCGGGTCGTCCCGGTGCCTGTCGCGGCAATGATGGACGGCTCCACTTGGCGGAGCAGCCACTCGATGTTCTGGCCGTCGGACTTGGACATGGTTTATGGAAGAAAAGGAGTTGGGAGAAGCGGAAGAAGTGGGTGATTGATTGAAGGAGAAGGGAAGGGTTTGATGGTGGTGTGGTTTAGGGAAGAAGAAGAAGAAGAAGAAGAAGAAGAAGAAGAGGTGCGACAGGGCGGAGGTGGAAGCGACGAAGGGACCGAGCAGAGGAGGTGCTCGCCTGCGCGACGCTACCGGAAGGAAGCGGACGAGAGCGGCGGCGATCCAGTGTGACGGTAGAGGCGGACGGCCGACTGCTCTTGGACGGAGGCGCGGCGCAGGGAGAAGTGGATTCGAAAATTTTGGGATTTAGGGTTCGTCAGATGGGGAAGGGAATGGTTAATTGGATTCAATGCATGGTTTATTCCTCCTCTTTTTTACATTTTTCGGTTGTGGGTCGGTTTGCCGGTTAACCGCCTTCGGTTACTCGGCTAACCGGAGAACCCTTCAGTCTTGTCGAACACCGACCGCGACTAATAACCGGCCGGCTTTCGGTTAGTGGCTAACCGCCGATTAGCCGCTAACCGGAAACTGATCTACCACCCCTAGCTAAAACTCTCATTTTTCAAATCCAACAAGCAAACGACCCCTAAATCCAAAATTTGCTATACAAATTTCACGTGCAAACAACCTATAAGATCACAGTTTCAAATCTTATCTCCACTTACGAAAATGGAGCCATAGGAGGGGAGGTTGGGTTTGTTGCACCAATTACTCCTACTTGCTCCACAAGAATGAATTCATTTCGGACTTTGGCTGTTCCCTTGTCTTTTGGGGTGAGAAACATTGGATTAAACGCACACTAATTTGGACTTTAACAATTGGAGTTAAATTATAAACTGAAACCAAAACACACGAAATGTGAATAGAGGACCAAAGCAAACAAAGAAAGAAGGCTTCTTCTCTCGCTATTAGCCAAAACAGTCAAACCAAATTAAACCCACCATTTATCAGAGTTATCCTCTCATCTCCCCACCAATTTTAAATGCAGTCGTCACCATCAGTTTTGTCCTCTGTTTCCACGGCAAACGGCTATAATTATAATTAACGATAATAATCAAAATCCCACACTAATGACAATAAATGACGATGTAGTATTTCACAATGTAGTAGTAGAAAGAGAAAGTCCAAATCCGGGAAAATGTACAATCAAGCAAACCAAAGTCCAAAGCAAAGGTTATCTACCTCTCCAGCAAATCTATTTGCTGATGAAAAACACTACTAAATTATATATAAATAATTCCCCCATAAAATAATCATATCCCACGTCCCAATCATCACAAATCCAATCCAAATCCACCTTCATTTTCTTCTCCTCCTCCCTACTTCTCAATATCCCGTGGGGAACTCGCACTTTCCATAACCTGCAACCACAAAAAGCCATTCCCCTTTTCGTTAACTTTAGGTTCACGAAAAATGTACTCTTTAGGTCGCACTTTAACATGACGCATGTGAATGAACCACCCCGCGAGAAAGCACCAATTTCGTACAAAACAACTTAAAAAAACGATAATACGATAATGTGGGAACGAGAACATTTACCACGAAAAAATCAATTTAACACTACTACGGGGAGGGAGGGACTTACTGGGGGCTTGAGTGACGACATAGGCGGCACCACCGAAATCGCACGTGCCGGTCCCACGCTGCTGCTTCTGGTAATAGCTATTGAACGCATAGGAAGCGTGCGCCTCAAGTGTATCAGGATCGAAACACGTGGCACCTTCCTGGATCGGACGGCAGTCAGCGCCTCCTTCCCCGCAAGCGTAATCAATGCCCTTCTGCAGCTTCTCCTCTCCGGCTTTCCCGTTCGCCACGCACCACGTCTGCCCCGAGTTCGACGCCTTCGACACTCCCTCTCCGTCGTCGTCTCCCTCGCCGCCGCTCGCCGCCGGAGGAGCCGCCTGGTTATTGCTTCCCGACGACGACGTCGTGAAGGTGATGTCGTACACCTTCTGCTCGCTCGGGTAGAACAGCCCGTAGTTCCGCTCGGAAGTTGGGCCGGGCTTTTTGTTCTCGTTGAACAGAGCGAACAGGAACACGTCCAGCGGCTCGTTGGGCCTGAGTGGGGTCCCGTTTCCGGTCAAAACTCGGTTGACCAGGTTCCCGTTGTAGGATTGGGCGTTGGCCTGACTTGCTCCCACCTCGTCCGAGTCGCCGAGTGAAGGCCACCCGGTCTCGGTCACGACCATCTTGACGGCGTCGTATTGGATCGCCGACATCGCGGCGTAGACGGCGTCGAGTTGAGCGTCGAGCAGGCTGTAGTATTTCAACCCGTTGCCCGAATCGACGACGCCGGAATTCGGCTTGAAGAGGGCGTAATCGAGCGAGATCTGGTCGGCGTTGGCCTCGTAGGCGAAGAACGGGTAGGCATTGACCATCAGGTAGGATCCGGTTTGATTGAGGAAGCTGAGCATGGGTTTAATCACGGGCTCGATTAGGTCGGGTTTGAACGAACCGGAGGAGGCCGGGTAGGAGCTCTGGAGCGCGCTGAGTGCGATTGGGGAGGAGATCTTGATTGAGGTGAGGTTGTGCTTGACGAGGGCGTTGTAGACGTTCTTCATCGCCGGGACTAAGAACGGCGTCGTGTTTTTCGGGTCGACGAAGACTTCGTTTCCGACGGCGATTGATTCGATCTGGGTGGCTGGGTAGAACTGGGAGATGTTGGCGTGGACCCAGTCGTCGGCGAAGGACTGGTCGGCAGCGGTGTCAGAGAGTAGTTCGTTGGGGAGGGCGACGGTGACGGCGATGCCGGAGCCAGCGAGGGCGGTGAGGACGTCGGAGCTGGTGTCGTAGAGCTTGACCCGGTTGATGCCCTGGGTTTTGAGGAGCTCCACGACTTTGGCGGGGGAGGGGAGGTCGTCGGCGATGCGGCCGTAGTTGACGCCGACGGTTCCCGCGGCAGTTGCCGCCTGAAGGGAGCAGAAGAGAGAGAGGAATGAGAGGAGAATGAGGAGTGAAGTGGGTGTGTGTGAAGTTGAGGAAGCCATTGCCATGGCTGCTGCTAAGTTAGGAAATGGGGATTAACTGCTTCTCTGTTTTGCTGATCGGAGGAGAAACAGAGAAGTTGGGAGACAGGGGATTGGAGTGAAATGAAGAGGAGTGGTTTTATAGAGGTTTTTTTTGGATTGTGCGATTTTTATTTTATTTTATTTTATTTTATTTTTGGGGTAAAATATTCTTGTTCCCACTTCGCCACTTCCCCTTGGCGAGCGGAAGCCACCTACTCGACCGTTTTTTGGGTGAGTAAATTTTCTGACCATCCTCCCTGTGGTTTGCTTACACGAAGGAGTAAGGAGGGTGTCAAACCAGAAAGAGCAAAAGGCCTACCAATAAAACGCGGTTCGACAATGAAGGAATTATTCCATGATTATGTAGTTGAACAAAAAAAATGTTTTGAAAATAAATACTCTAATTTTTATTCTACCAAAAAATCAAATCTATTCCAGTAATGATGAAGTTTACACGAAGAGAACATTCAAAAGATGAAATCAGAAATGAGATCTAGGATAATAATCCAGTCATTTGAAATAGAAAATTTAGCTAACGATCGAGCAATTTAATCCACCTTTATGTTTTGCTTTTGTAATGCCGCTTCAAATTTGATTTGAGGGTTCAATCTTAGGATGGATACTATCATATCGATCCAATACGTGCATAGCTACGACAATCTAGATGAATAAACTAAGATTGCTCAAACGAAAAACTCACATTTAGACTGAACATGAACTCGAATTCGTACTTGTGAGCTAGTTTTGGACTTTCCAAATGGTCTTTGTTTCAACTATAATCGGAATAGAAAAATGTGTGTATCAGCTTGTTCATCTCAAATTTGTCCATAATTGTAAATGGTTATCACAACTCCATAAATCGTGTCATGATATACACCTTATTCGAGTTTGCTAGATTTGTTATTGAAGGCATGTTATAAAATGCATTTTTATCAATTTATGAAATTTAAAATGAAGAAGAGAAAAGGGTCTAAACTGAATTTGGTAAACTACATTATTTCAAGAATAGTTATCAAATCGAGAAACGATTTTCTTAGCCTCCGAAACAAAAAACAGTTATCGACAAATTCGATCCTATCAAATGGTAAACAACTTGCTCGATCATCCAGTGTCACAAACAAACTCATTCCATAACTCCGATCGTTTGCTTGTTGGATTTGAGTGATGAATTTGTCACTCAAATCCAATCATGATGGATTTAGTACAAATCTTTAGTTTGCTTAAGAAAAATGGAAGAACCAACTCCACGGGCCGAGGAATTTGGTTCCAAATTAACAGTCCCACCATTTTGTAAATCTCAAATGAAACGTGGAATTTGAGATATGGGTCCAAGTTCATGACGGTTTAAGTAATAGTATTTGACGATGGCAGAAGATGAAAATTCTAAAAAATGCCTTATCTTCTTCTTGTCGATGATAAAGCAAAAGACACCAGCGAGAGTCATCATTTTTGAAATTTTAGAATTGACGATGGCTGGAGATCTGAAATTTCCATTGAAAATTCTCATAATTTAAAGTTTTGTGGCTAATGATTTTACGCACTTGTGATAAATTATTAAACCATAAGATTATAACTATATATTGTGATTAGCTACACATTTTTTAAACTCTTGTTGCTAGTAAGTTTATGAAATAGTGTAAAATGTCAATCTCAAAACACAAATTAACAACTTAACCATATAAAGTATAAAACTCGGTGCAAAAATTAGCAATAAATTCAAAGGAATAAAGAAAAATAAGGTAATATACATTCAAAAACTATATATCTATCAATGTCTAAAATCTATGATCAAATGAATAAACAAACAATAAAATCTTCCAAATTCATAATGCACCAAATTCCTAATTTTCAAAGGTTTAAAAAGATCAAATTATGACCAAAACCCTCCTAATTAAATCGAATCACCATACCTTTTTAAAAAAACAGTATAGAAGAAGAACTGGGAAAGTGATAACTGCGTGATGTGAGTCAGGGTAGTGAGATGGGATCATCAATCATTATATTTGGATTGGGGGGTCTAATAATAATAATCTCTCTCTCAACGGCATTATATCATATATATGTTGCAGCTTTGGGTGCGCCCTACTCGATCGTCCTAAACCCCACACGTCTGATTGAAGAGTAACGGCTCCTTTTTCCTTCGGATCTACCTATTGTTCTGTTTCATTTCCACACCTGAATGAATATTAACTATCTACAACCACTCGTTTAACTAATTGGTTGTTTGATGCTCTAAACGCTGTTATGATGACAAATTGAACCTGTTTGTCGGGCATTGTCTGACTCAATTCGTGTTGAGGAAGATAATATTGGTACTACTTTCGTCCTGTTTTGATTTGTTCTTGGCTAGTTTTACATCGATTTGTCTCAATATTTTATATTTCTCTTGTTTTCGCTTATCTTATATCCTATTTTCATGCAATGATACTTATGATAAGTTCAAGACTTCGTCTTTCTTTAAATTATATATAAGAAATGATTGAATTGATTGAGCTAATACCCACACAAACATTATCTTACCTGACTCATACTTAATGCGGGGCGGATATGAATATTGAAGTACCCGCTCCACTGCCCATCGCTAGTTGTTAGGTTACTTAGAAATTCGGTACTTCCTATATATATGAGCTCACACAGAAAAGGAAAAAAGAAAGGGAAACGTAAGAGGGTAAAAGTAAAAGAGATCCGGAACTTGACAATCAGGTCGGCAGCGTCTCGTTCACCGAAAAAGGATGAATGCTTTTTCAGTTCATCGCATTTTTATATTACGGATGATATCATATAACTATTTTGGCAATGAAATGGTCGGCAAGTTTTCTGTACGATGTTCCCAGACCTTCTCGGTTCCAACACTTGATCGCCATTTTATATTTCAGAATGTAAGGTTTAGGGTTTTGGATGTCACCACCACCACTCGTGACTCACCATTTTCAATGTGGGACTGAGCAGGAGGTCGGTAGCAGCATTTTCTATTCAAAATGAGGTGTTATGTATAGTAACCAATGGCTTAGAGACTACGGTTATCAAACCCGTTTATACTTCCATGTCGATTATGTTTTGTATTTTCATATTTCTGTGATTGTATTCCTGTCAATTTTGTTTTGTATTTTCATATTTTTGTGACTGTATTCATGTTGTGGCGACTCTGCTGCAACAAATGAGAACCTTTTAAAAATGTAGTGAAGTCTCAAACTCCACATTAAGTGAGTTAGGCCTTGTAAAAGGTATACAAGAATAGGTTTATATCTTTTAAGGGTATTGTATCTTTTGGAGTGACTCATTTGTATGTGAGAAGTGAGATCGGTCAAGCGAGTGGGTGGGTTGAATTGGTCGACTATAATTTTCTTGTGGGAGGACCTAATGAACCTCCATATCAAACATTCGATTAATTATCTCACCAAAACGTGTTTTAATTATGAGTGTAAATATCTTCATAATTAAACGTTACTTATCCCACTAAAGATTGAATATTCAGGGGATTTAGGCTACTATAAATAGTGAACTCCTCGGCCCTCTACAGAAATACTTCAGAGAGCATAAACACGAGAGCGTGAGATTTAGAGAATTTCGATTTCACACAAACGAAGATCAAACAAGAATTGTTGCTTTATCCTAGAGGCAACTGACTATTAGTTTGTTGTGCGCAAACGAGATAGTGCCACAAATGTGTTTAAAAGAGCGTGATTTAGTCTACAACTCAACCAGATTCGATAACCTCATCTATCTATAATATATTTAATACATATTTATAGGCTAGATTTTCTCGTTTTTGAATTTCCTGGCTCCAGCTTTATTCACGGAAGGGCCTGGTAGTAAATTCACCCGACATCACTAAATGGAGCGCACCGTTTTGGCAACCAACTAGGAAAAACAATATTGCATGCGGCTGGACTTCCCCAATTGAGCTGTGTAGTTGGGCCTGGATTTTTTTACCTAGCCTCCTAAGAGCTCACCGTTTTAGCTACCGAGTAGGAAAAGTAATATTGCATGAACGTGGACTTCCCACTTGTTGTTTGTATGGCCTCCTAACAGCTTGAAGGCATCGAGCCATCGACCCCTATTCCTTCGAGCCAAGGTTGTTAAACACCTATCAAATTTCTGGTTTGACCCAGTCCGATATGAATCAGGCTTCAAAACGGTCTCTACAAAGCTCCTCGGTCTGACCTCTAAAGAGGAGAAGAAGAGAGGGGGAAGAGAGGAAAAGGAACGAAGGAAGAGAGATGGTGGGTGGATCATGAAGGTTTGGTAAATTTACTTTGTAGAAAATAACTTTTTAATAGATATATGTAAGATTAATTTAATTTCAGTCATTAAATCTTCAATTATTACCTTATTTGTGTGTATATATATATGGGCAGTTCTAGGGTGCCTAGGGAAAAATTCGGGGTACGGAAGAGCGGGGGCAAGGAAAATTACAAAAAGGTTCACGAAGCGTTAAAGCTTTTTTCATTGGACTTCAACCTAACTGTACCCAGTTTAATTATATCGATTAAGAGGTTAAACCCTATGGATACGACCCACCGCCGCCCTAACCAATTTTCGGGTTAGATCAGGTCCTTAAGGCCTCTTTTTTTAAGGAAGATCTAAACCCCTTTCAACCAATAGGAGAAGAAGAGAGAAAATGATTAGTAATTATTGGGTAACTACCTACCTAATACGTTAAAGGGTAAGACATGAATATACAAAATATTTAATGATACAATTAATTAAAATAAAAATGGCGAAAACCCACACAAACGTTGAATTAATTGGGGTTTCGAGAATCAGTCTCCTCCCAACCCTAAAACCATTTATCCTCCAACAATCGCCGTCGTGCTGCGCAGCCGACGGGGCTCTTGCTTTCCGGCGTATGGTCTCGCTGAACTGTAGTTGCGTTACCGTCCACCGTCGCGCCTCGTCTCTCCCGTGATGCCTCACTTGTCGTCATCGCACGGCCACTTCCTTTCATAAGTGTTGGCAACCTTCATCAGTGTTCTACTTCGCCGACGTAGCGACGATAACGCGGGCCGCGTGGTTAGCCTTTCGAATGGTTTTTTGGGTAGTATATATCGTTGTCAGGTCATATTGT